TTCCCATTGGTTCTACATATTTACCTCTTGACCAATTTTAATCTTTGATTATTAAGTGTCATATATTAAACCACATTCATGAGTTATAGAAATTTTCTATATTTATTGTTTCAATCCTTTTTTAGTACTTATTATCATCTCGCAAAGCGTTTCTCAAAGTCAATCTTGCTTAATAAGGAATTGTATGGGTTTCCAAAATCACCTAATTGTTTTAATACTCCAGAGTTTTTTTTTATTTCTAATTCCTAATTTCTAATTATTCCTAATTCTTATTATAGTTGCCATATCTACGTTTTCTACTACTATGTATAGCGGCCACAACTCCACCTATACCTCTATCGCAGTTGTAAGACAAAATTTTATTGTCCCTAATCTTTGAATTTCTGTTAATTTTATTTGAGCTGTCTTAAGTTGTGTCCTATTTGTCCATTGGATAGCACTATAGGTAACAATTGGTCGGACTAACATTACGTATATCCAGTACAAGACTTTGAATTCACAATCTCAAGTATTACGTATCAGTTATATTCTTGTCGAAGTGGCAAATTAATTATCGTTGATACAGATGTGACTCAATTCCGGTAGACTGTAGACTTGAAAAAATTCTATGTTTCATATTCATTATCGCTAGTTATACAATATGTACTCAAAGCCACAGCGGATCTTACATTTGGATACTATATTCAATCGTCTCAGAGGGTGCACTGATTGCTGTAGTGCTAAACTTGCATGCAACGAAGAGAAGATAGATTACTCAGATTATTATTAAAACTAAAGCAATGGAATTGAATCTGAACAGTGTTGAAGTGTGCTAACTTGAAAAATGATATGCAAAATCTGAAAAAGCTGTAATAGACGTTTAGTCACATGCAAAATTCTGCAATCTTAAATACTTGACATATGATAAGAAGTAGTTTGAAATATTAAATTATACGTTAAATGGCATTTATTGTTTTTGTTTTTTTTTTTCTTTTAAAAATTTATTCAAGATAAAATCGTTAAACAAATGACTTTCTGTGATATACATAAGATTTTAACAAGTTTTTTCTTCAAAATCGCAACGTCTTCATTTCACACATTTTTTTTTTTTTGTTGAAATTATAAAATTCGCTTTCGGGGTCTCCTTACTATTCGTCTGGCTTTTGGTTTAGTTCAATATACTTCTTGGTATTTTTAATATTCAATTGATGGCATTTTATGTTGAATTTCAACAAGCTGCAATTCGCCTCTTATTTAGATATTTCTTATTCGAACGCATTAAATTTATTCCGCTATATCTTGCAGGCATATCATTTCTACAGTTGCTACTTGGCTCGTATCGTATGGTAGTTGATCATTTAGGGAAAACATATATCCTTTGCTAAAAAGTATTTCCCATATGTAAGTGTTATACTCGTATTTATACGATACAAACAGTAACTGTGAACCAGTGATCGTAAGAGATCTACTTGATTTTTTCGTTGTTTATTTGTATTTCCATTATTCTTCAGATTTTTTGCACATTAATAATAATCGTTTTTAGGCGCAAGCATTACTCGTTTTAAATCTATTCGTTTGGTCAATGCTTACAAGTTTATTTACATACCACAAATAATAGCTACTTGTGCGTAAGTTAGTAGAAAGGAAAAAAAAAACTATATCGCTACCAAATTAATTCGCTATTGAAGATATTAACTCGATTCAAAATAGAGTAACTGCTAACAGGGCTGAAATTCCCATTGGCAGATCAATCTTTTATAACAAATTAGATCTTAGTGTCTTCTGGGTGTGGAAAACATGAATTAAACTTACCAAGATAAGCACGCTACTATCTGAAGTTCACTTCTTTAATATTGATATTCCTCTTATAACGGCTAAACTTGCAATTAAAAATAAATACCTATGGTTTACAAGAAAAGTCGGGGCAGTTGAAAATTTTTGGCAGATCACAAATTTCACCTGGTCTATATTAGCGTAAATTCTTACTAGTCATGCGCTTCAACAAAAGCACAATCAATTCAGTGCAATGGTATTACTGCTGATAGATCACTGCATATTAAGAAGGCACACAATAAAACTTAATCGGTCTACTTTCTAACGACTTTTGTTATGGTTGTGACTCTGCGAAGGAAAAGGAAATATTGGTTAAGAGAAGATACAAAATTTTTGGTTTCTTTTTTAAATGGCCTGGAGACATATCCAAGTGTCTTAGGTTGCTGCCTTTGCATTTTAATGGTGATGTCGCGCTTTTTTAAAAGAATGTTGTTCGCGCATTCAGGTTCTTCAGGTCATGCGTATGGACAGTTTCATATCGGTGGTATCACAATGGGCCCTTATATTCACTAAAGTTTAAAGTTTTTAGACAACATTTCAAATATATAAACCGAATACTAGTTTTAAAGGATAGTCGTCTGACAAAAATAGTAACTCAAAAATTATTAAGCAATAAAACCTTATTTTTCAAAAACTGGATGGATCTGGCAACAGAATTAGATGAACCATTACAAATACAAGAGACTAGATCCTGGAAAATATGGCAAGAAGTTATAATAAGTAAGCAAACAAACAAAGAACGAGTACAATTCGAGTACGCTGCGAGAACGAGCCTAACGAGAGCAACATACAGTACACTAAATTACGATTTGAAGGATAACAATTATTTTAATTCCAAGTACAGAGAAATAGATATTACCAGAATATTTAAAACACGAGGCGAACTATTACGCTTGGCATATATTCCTTACGAAAACCAAGTAAATGTAGACTGCACCCTTTGCAATCTTGGGGTAATTGAAGACGTCCAACATTTTATGGGGATCTGTCCTATATTACAGGAGATTAGGTTTAAGTATTTTGGAAAAGTATCTTTAGAAAAAACAGATGTAATTTCATTATTAAATGGAGAAAATTGGTTCTTGCTTAGCGCTTTTATTAATGAAGCAACTATTTATAGAAAAAAAATAATAGACGAAATATTTTGAAAGAATTTTAAATATTATATAAATTAACATGTACACCTTTTAAATATTAAAATAATGGAAATATTGAAATGATTAAACTAAAATTAAATATTAAATTAGGCGGAGGAGTTTTGACTCATAGCCTTCTTATACACAGCTGTTATAAAAAAAATTTGTAAATTTGTAATTTTAAATTCAATTGAATAAATATAATTAACTAACTAACTATTCACTAAAGTTTCAAAATGAGTTTTTAATTCTATAAATCTATCAATATTTCTAATTTTAAATTAAATTTAATTTTTGTGCAACACATCATAGTAATCCACATCATCTTTTCGATTTACCAAATATCGAAAAAAATTATTGGATATGATGCCTCGGTAATTCCTTAGCTCGATAACGTCACAATTTAATAAAAACAAATATAAATAAAATCTTATCATTTTATAGATTTACCGATCAGGTCTGGAAAATTTTGTTTCTGATCTTTTCAATTTATATAGAGTATCATAAAGTCATTGAAATAGAGGATTGTATTTGAATTTTGTAAAATATCAATGAGATAAAACATCATAATTTAGTAGACGTTAATAATTGGTGTCAGATCTTATTGATTTCTATTAGATCTTATTGGTTGGTAACATACCTTATTGACCATAATCCGGCGCCCCGGAAAGTGAGTGCTCGCCTAAACCACTCCGCCTCATTCCTAGAGACCTTATCCTACCCCGGAATTACGTTAGTATTACTTTGAGGTAGGGTTCTTATTAGTCATTTAAGACTTCCATCGGTGTGACCTGCGCTCAGGTCCCGCTACTGCTGCAGGTGATTAACCTTACCCTTCATCTTTTATTGCTTTGTATTAGACCTAATAAGTTTATGATAAACCGAATTGATATGTGCATAGTACGAAGAATTGACATGTGTATAGTACGAAGAATTGATATGTGTGTAGTACAAAGAATTGATATGTGTAACATATAGTATAGTACAACGAATTGATATTTGTATAGTACGAAGTTAATAAGACAAAAACAAAAAGTTTCAAATTGTGTTTATTACAACAAATCGAAATGATCAATTTAAACAAAAATTGCAAAAAATATTACTTTTTTAAAACCTAACAACTCAATTCCAATTCCACGAATATGATACTATAATATTTAATTGTTAATACTTTCAATTTTAATATATAGAGTATCTAGTCTGCAGAAGATGAGCAATTTCTATCATTAAATTCTAGAATTAGTAATAAAATTAGTAATAATCAAAATTATTTTTAAATAATTTTTATAAGAATTCCATGAGTAAAGCATGATTCCTTTTACAATAGTTCTGATTGATTTAGATCGATGATTTTTAATAATCTGCCTGAACTCATTTTTAATTTTTCTAATATTTTAACTATTTACTTTATCAATCACTTAATACTTACGTTTACATAAAGCAAACGTAAAAATATAAATATAACATCAAACATTGTTGGTTTATTTATTTCATTTGAATTCAATGTTTCATTTGCGATACTCGCCAAATTCGTTCACCTCAAAAGTGATGATGTTTCACCTCATTTTCACGTAGTTTATTTTTTAATCTACTTAGATGCTTTCTTGTTAGTTTATCTAAATATTTAATCAGTTAATAACTCATGCGCTTGTGTACGTTAAAAGTTTTCACGAGGCGACCTTGGCTAGCAATTTGCAATTTGGCTTCTACTCCAATGAGTTTACTGTTCCAAGAATAATTTTATGAACTCATAAATTGTGCTCCAGCAGTTCTCCATGTGTTTTTATGTGTCGGCTGAGTTTTTTTTTTATTCTATTCTAAACATGTGAGCATGGTCGAGATTTTGTTCAGATTTAAACACATAGATCTATCTAAATACATTAGTTTAAGAATTTCAGCAGATTTTGCAAATATACAACATGTCTGTAATATAGTCCCAGTTTAAAGGCTTATATAGTCCCATCCCTAAAAAGTATAAAATTAATTAAATACTTATTTGTTTTTCATCAGTTGTTTTAACATTTAAATAAAAATGATTTTATTTTCTCGTAGGCAAAAAATGTCATCCGTCCACGTTATTACTCCTCTGAATTGGGAATACGCGAAAAAGTTTTTGTTGGCGTTATGACATCACAGGACAACATAAATACGTTGGCGACAGCAATTAACCGTACAACGGCTCATTTAGTCAATAAAATAAAATTCTTCATAAATGCAGATAATGTTAAAAAAAACTACAATCTTAAAAATATTGTAGGATTCACAGATACTCGCGAAACTTTACGACCTTTTCATGTGATAAAATACATTGCAGACTATTATCTTGACGACTATGATTATTTCTTAATTATACCGGATAATGTGTACGTTGATGCACGAAAGCTGAAATCTATGCTGTATCATATGAGCATCACATTTGATCTCTACATGGGCTCACGTACAGAACAGAATGTTGTGGGCTATGGTGCATACAATGGGCGGTCGGACGATCTGATGAACAATGGTAAGATAGAGAATGAGAATAATGATGATTTCAAAATGCTCAGTGATCGGAATTACTGTGATTTAAATGCGGGCATATTGCTTAGTAGCAGTGTCATAAGAAAAATGCGCAATAATCTCGACTGGTGCGTGCGGAATGGCATTACCAATGTACACAGCGTTAATATTGGCCGATGTGTTAAGTATTCCAGTAAATTATCTGGCTGTCAAGAGAGTTTTCAGGTAAATATGCATTGTATTTAACCGCCACTTTATTTCAATCACAATATTCTTTCTTACCTACTTTGATAAGCTTTTACAAACAAATCAAAGTATCTTATTATGTTTGGTTATTAAGATTTTATGCACACTATATTCACTAAATTGTTTTATTAAAGTTTGCGTTGAAGTTTTTAATCATTAATTAAAAGAGTAAATATATAATGACAACGAAACTTTATTACAAGTAATTATTTTAATCTTTATAAAATTTAATTTTTAAAGTTAATTATGACGAAAGAAACCATGTTTCTAAATAATAACTTTTGTTTCTATAGAGAGGTATTTTGAACAATAGTGAATTACAACAACAATATTTTATTATTTATTAATTAATTGAATTTTTGGCATACAGCACATAGCTGTTGCGAGTATTGCCAAATCACCAGTGTTTATTTGGCAATATTTCTTGTATTTATTTATTACTGGAAAAATTTTTTGAGACTACAAGTACCAAGCGTAGAACTCGTACCCTGCCAAATTTAAATCTCAGAGTCTAACTTGTATGTTCTATTAATTTAATGTGAAAGTTTATTAACAAATTTACTCATATATCAACTATAAACTAATTGAATTAATTAATTATAGTTCTTTTTAGTTGTTAATTGTTTAATTGTATTTTAATATATAAGATTAATTATATATTATGATTAGTTTTTTGATTCTCTTTTGATAGGATAGTATCACAGTTAAATTACGTTCAACATCAGCTGAACATCAGCTAATGATTAATATTTTTTTTTAAATCTAAACAAAACAAAATCTTGATAAAACTTTATAAAATAAACCCTTAGTGCCAATATAGCTATTGTGAAATGTATTATGGTTCAAAAAACCCAAAAAGTGATCTACTGACACTATTTTGGCTTTCTCAGTCACACCATGAATATAGTTACATATATAATTATATGTATACATACCCATATCACTACTACCTATGTTGCCGTATAGCGTAATTAAAAAAGCTATAATAGCTGATTCTACTATAATGCAACGTCATATCGGCGTATTATACTGTCTCGTGATATGCTTGGCTATATTAGAAAAGATTTACTTTATTTTTCTTGAATCGATGTTATTGTTAACTTACCATGCTATATATCAAATGTCGGTAGTACAATATGTGCCATTGAAAGTGTGGGTCAATATTCGTATGATCTGCAAAAGCTATTATACGATCCCTGGAAAAGTGTTCGAAAGGTATTTTAAGTTCTATCAAATCCTAAATAAGAGGCCACATTTTTGTTGTTATTCTTGAACAGCGCGCATTGGACTCCATATCACAGTAAAATTCTGGCATGTTGATCAAAAATAATCTAAACATATGCATACCAAATTTAAGACATTACCTAAACATTTAATATTTATATTGCTTTTCTGTGGGCAATACAATTTTCGATCGTCTTTCTGTTTGTATGAATCCGATTGATCATTACTGACCAAGCCATAATTTTCAAAAGGAGTTACATTGTCTAAATATACGTAGACATGTTTTAGCTCAACGGTTGGGGTGTTCTTCATCTCATTAATCTTTTATGACATGTAGAAATTATTTTTTTGTGTGACTTGCACGTCCTCACACCCATAGTAACGTTTTCGTTACTTCTGAAAACGCATTTTTCGAAGAGTTAAAAGTTGTACAATGCCAAATCAGATGAATAGTAGGAGTGGTTCATATTTTAAACGTTTGTCGTTGGCTACTCCTAAAATACTACTCAAACGCATAATATATTCGTCGACGCTTAAAGATCTCTCTGAAGATTCAGAGTTAAAGATTGTGCACTGATGTTTAATAATGATGAGATATATAATTAAAATTTTTCTTTTAAGAGTATTATTTATTATTAAAATATTGTGTACGAAGACTATAACAACTACATTTTATATAGTTATACTTATACGAACTCGAACATTGACTGTCCGTATTACTGTAGCCGTTTTAGGACTATTGTATCTAATTACCTTATATATTTTAATTATTAAAATAAAGGTCAATATTAATAACGTATATGCGATTCTAATAATAACATATAAACTGCTTTCAGAAATAGATTTTTGGGTTTGTCCTTAGTAAATATCATCGAATCCTTGAAAGTATCTTCAATAGTTATGTAGCTAAAAGTTAACTTATTAACTTGGCAAACAGAATTGTTTTGCCATAACTAATAATCAAAGAGTATGGGTTTAACAAAATGCTATACTATAGGATTGTATAGTGTACAGACCTATACAGTTTTAGGAATTGAATCCTGTCAAATTTGATATTCATATAAATATTTTAATTATTTATAACTTATAATCCAATTTAAAGGTAGCAGTATCTTATCTTCTCTGAGAAGACTTTTCAAAGTTCCTTGGTACATTAGGACGAATGACATCCTCAGGGACCTCAAGATTGATCCCATCAAAAAATACATAAAGGATAGAGCCCTGAAACTATTTGCGAAATCTGACAGACTTACTAACACCGCGTTATCAAATCTCAGAATGGTTACAGGCTCCTCGGGGAGATATCCAGATCTGAGGTCAATTATTGCTTAGTCTAATGAAGTGATAAACAAAAATCCAGTCAAGGCGCAAAGAGGGGTTTTGTAGAAACTTCGCAGTTATTAGAGAGTAAAATTGCTCAGGTGCACTGACTCAACTCAACTAGCCTCAACATATAGTATCTTATCTATCTCTCTAAATTAGACTCTTCTATATTATTAACTACAAATAATAGTGAAAGTATGTAAGCAAATAAACTGAAGTGCACATAGAACCACTCAACATTTTACAACAATTTAACTTGAGAGCAATTATCAAATTAAGGATGTCAATTACAAAATTTAATTATAGAAAGATTTCTTCAGTAAACAATCAAGCAAATACGAGTAATTCTAAGTTTTGTGCAAATTTCAATGTGCAGATGTCAAGAGTCAATATAAACAATAATTTTACAGTCCAAAGCAAAACAATTAAAATTAATTAAGTTTACATTGTATTGTACACAACACAACACAACAGAACAGAACAGAACAAAACCTAATTGCACAGAGCCGAACAAAATGTGTAGATACATAAATATAAACACAAGTAAATTCAATGAAACTGCAACAGAAGTTCGCTTAACACTCTACGTGCCGCTGCGGCACAGACAGACACATTATATTAGACCTCACCGGCCACAAGGTGGTTGCTCGTCTGATGTAATTAAGTTCAATAATTTATAGCAGAATAAATAATTTGGTTTCTGAAACCTAAGCAATTATTTGGTTATATCTTATTTCGTTACAGTATAAACAAATTATACTTGTATCTGTAATTAAATACTAAGTGCTTAAGTGGTTGGAAAATATTGTTAAGGCTTAATTCTATTTTAAACTCAGTTTTATATTTTAGAAGCATATATACATTATGAAAGTATTATTAATAACATACATTTTTGCGCTTTTATTCTTCAACAAAATTATTTATAAACATTGATCGCTAAAGATTCCACTGTAAATTTGTTTGCATATAATATTACATTCTCTACACATCCATCTTATCTGATAATAAAAAGAAACAACATTCTTCTGAGTGCCTTATCTGCTTCGAACTTTAGCTAACATGATTAATATTTCTGTTTGTTGACAGCTTCGTGAAAAAACTATCTTACACATTAATTGAACCACTGCCGTAGATTTATAATCCACGAACGATACCCCTTGTCTAACAGGATGCGGCCCTGTTCTTCAATTCTACCATCAATTATCAAGACCGGATTTTCATACATGCCTTAAGATATCGCCAAAGTATTCCAGTTTTCAATTTAATTGGCTCCAATATTTTTCTTCCATCGTTGCTTTCCAATTCCAATTGATTTATTACAATTTTTTTTTTTGCGTTAAGATGAAGATACGAATATGAAAGATATATGATACGTAACACTTCCTGATTTGCTTTGTTACGCTAGAAATTTACGGACGTATGATTATAATTGTAAAACTTTTGATGATTCGTTAAGTGATCTATAGCCGATCTCTATTGCCAGATTATCTATTTGTAAATAAATCATCGATAATTGTATCGAAAAGAGCCAGTAAATTGGAATATTTTCCGTGGATGCTATTTGACTAACGTGTTTCGATCATGTAAACATGTCAACAATGGTGTTTTTTAGGGGGATTAGGCAAATGAACAATCGTTGTTTTTGCGAACAATCGTCTGACACTTGACGATTCAGCTAGTTATGAAAGATGTATTACCTGCCGGCTATGTGGCGACAAAAATTATCGAAAATTACCTCAAAAGGATGTAGCATATTAAGATTTTCCGTGATTAACATTTAAATGATGTGTGTTGCGTCTTGGGATAAGATCCAAACAACACATTGATATAAAAATTTTATAAAAATCTAAAACATCAGTGAGCTTCATTTTGGTTAATTGAAGATGGATAACCCTATGTATGCAATCCGGTACGTTCAGATACATTTTGATAAAAAACTACGTTAAGTAAGCAGAAAATTGTGTATAGAAATAAAAAACGAAACTAAAATCGCTAATTTTTTTTTTTTTTAAATATTCTAAGTTTTTTCCATTGTTGGAAGATCTATAAACTAAACTAAAAAAAAAGAAGTTATTTATAAAATCATTAACACCTTTGTGTTACACATATGTGTTTCTAATATATTATAATATTATGTTAGTTTTTCAAAACGATTTATTTTATTAGAAGTGATACAAATATTTCTGTAATCTATACTATAGTATAAGCATACACAGAATTAAAGCCACAGTTTGAGCTATTTTACGTCATAATATTAATTTTCTCTATATTTTACACAAGATACTTGTACTTTTTCTGGAACAAGCAATTTACACTTCACTGTTGAAAAATTATTTAACAAAACATAATAAAAGTATGTTCCGATTTTTAATTCGATTCTCAGGTAGCTAACCGTTCTTTCAGGGTCACGGTATCAATGAACTTATCGCGCTATATAATGGAACATTTCGGATAACATTTCCAGTAAATATGATGACTACAACATAATTAAAAAATAAATAAACTAGAAATTAAAAGACACCTAACATGTGAGCACCTCAGGGTGGTATGGCATGCGGCGTGGTGTGTGGTGGGTAATAAGTTTTCATTCTGGCGTGTTTGAGTGATCGAACCAAATAAATCAGGAGAGCGCTAAACCGTAAAAGTGCTAAACAATGCAATATTTTTTGCTGAACGAAATATTTTTTCAAAAAAAATTTTACTAAAATAGTTTTGATGGTTTTTTATGTAAATAAAATAGGCGCGTAATTTAAAAAATCCAAACAAATTAAAAGCTTTTGTTTAAATATTTTTAAATAAACTATTTTCCAATAGATTTTTTATAAAATATTTCTTTTATATAAGAGCAAATCGAAAACTACTACCAGAGTAAATACGGATAACGCTATGTATGAAATGGAATCAGATTTTTTTTTCTATAAGCTATTTTTCTAATCTACTATAGAATATAATCTATTATTTTTCTATAATTTTTTCTGGATTATTTTTACCAGATAAAAAAATTTTTATGAAAAGTTAAATAAATTTTAAAAGATATATGCTTTATAGTTCAACATATTAATAAATTCTTCCTTATTTAATATATGACACTCCTCTTAAAACATTTTCTGTTAGCTCGTTATGCCCTTTTTAATTCTATGTTCTGCATTCATCCATTACATTCAATAATTGAATAATAAATGAAAGCTACTAACTATACACATAGATACTAGTTTTCATAACAACCAAATCTGTTGCTCGATATGATATGCTATGAATATGATACTTCATCTATTCAAGGCTCTAAGTGTTCATTCAAGTTTGTGCCGCAAAAAGTCAATGAAATGAAGAAATTACAAGAGTCAATGCAAAAGAAATCGGCTAACTATCTACACAATACAGTTTTGGATAAAATCAAAAAGAGAGGCTGACCTGGAATCAGCTACAAACTAAATAACATCTATTCTGGATGTTAAAACTACTCTGCCAGGTTGCAAACAAGTGAAACAAGGGAAGTAAAGGTCTGCATCCTCTACACGTACTGTTTAAAGATGAAGAGAGGTACAGGAACGCGTACCTATTTGCGGAACTTGTTACTAAGCAGTCACATAGTGAAATGGAGACACACGAGGCCAATACCTTAACAGCAACTCCGATGTGTAAATTGTTCAGGAATAAAATTAAATCAACATTGCAGTGACAAATAAATTATGGAATAATCGTGAAAATTGTGAGCTGGCTTGATTGAACCCTATGGTTTAGTTTAGATAGGACATAATCGAAATGTCTTTTACAGTTCGTGTCCATTCTGTAGTGCAACAAGCAAAACGCCTTGATAAAGAAGAAGTGGAATCTATCAATTATATATTTCTATATATATTAATCTATATTTCTGTTCAAGATTATAGACAAAGCGGCTTCATTGTTAGGTTCTTAACTTCAAATTATTTAACAAAACAAGAATAATACGTGATGCTATCTTAGAAACAAATTTGATAGTGTTACTGTTACTAATCATGATATCAACCAAAGAAACTTCCTTAAACTTAGTAGAACTTTTAACGAATCGAGTATATTAATAAACCAAGTTTGGTTTACAAGAATTATAATAATTTATGCTTAAAAAATACTACTTTAGAAATTTTCTTGATACAAACAAGTATTTTATTACTAAGCTTTGGACCTTACTTACCCTAACTGATCCTAATAACCCAGAAGGACAGAAGGTTCTGGAGAGATTGTGGTTTAGCCATATTAACCTGAACTTTTTGCTGTCCATCGTAGTATTCCGTTTATGTTATACTAATCTTTGAAATTGGTTTTAATACTGTTTTAGATTATCTCTTATCAAGATCTATTTATTGTTAGATGAAGTAGTCAATCATTTCTATTGTATTTTTTAATTTTGGTTTCTTTGTAAATTACTTCATTGGTGAATGAAGTACATATATTATTTTTAATATTGAATAGAAATGATTTGTTTATAATTTTAATGATTATTTTTTTTTCACAATTGCTGGAGACAGAATCTTTGCTAAAACTGAACCAGCTCAAACAAACAAAATGCGGATCATCAAATGAATTATGCGATCTATATTTTTTTAATTTTATTGTAGCATTTGTAATTTTTTTATTACTTTTTTGTTTGAAATTAATTTGATAAAAAGTCTCATATAACATAAAAAGAAAAAATACTAAATGATTTTATAAAAAACCAACGGAAATAATAAACAAACAAAGTCCAACAGATGCTTATATACATTCCCAACATAGATTTTATAAACAAGGTCTTTGTTTAAACAAAAACACATGACAATTTTATAGTTGTTTTCTTTCACATCACATCTATTTAGTATAGATCATTCACCACAAACATCATTAAAATACAAAAAAAAAATATTAAAAAATTTTATAATCCAAAACAGGGTGTTCGACAGTTCACATATCCATTAAAACCATATGTAAAGTTATTTAAAGATCTAAACCAGTTAACAAAGGACGATTTTTTTCGCAACTCAACTACTGTTTATCCGGTAACATCTACTGATGATTTCTATCGCTTGCACGCTTACTTCTCTAGGGTAAATATAGTAATATATGTATATCTGAACAAATTAAAATAAATCACACATTATTTTCATTCAATAGTATCATTTGGAACTGGTGCAGCAACGTAGCAACGAGTTGGAACAGAAATCTTATCACATCGCTAATGGTTCAGTGTCTAATAATATACTCGAAATACGCTGGCCACTGGGCGTACCATTGAATAGTTTACCAGAAACTCGACATGATATAATCACTTGGCACCTTATAAATCGTACGCATATTTTTTTACCAAATGCAGAGAATAATGTCGAACCGCTTAGTCGGATAGCACTATTAGACTTTGAAAAGGTTTTGGAAATCACATTGCAATATGCAACACATAAATACCCAACTTACAAGTATATTGATATACACACCGCCTATAGAAAATTCGATCCGACCAGAGGAATGGATTATCAGTTACACTTAAACTTTCGTAATCCAAAGAAACCACAACAAATAATAACTAAAAATTTTCAAGTTGTGAAGCCATTAGGACGTGTTGAAGTAGTACCGTCACCATATGTTACGGAAAGTACTCGCATATCTTTGCTCGTACCCACATTTGAACATCAAATAACGGATGCTATCGACTTTATAACACAATATGAGCGCATTTGTATGCGTAACCAGGATAATACATTTTTGTTAATGGTAATAATATTTTTAATTTCAAGTGACTGTATATTTCAGTCTGCTACTCTTACAGATTTTTTTATATCGCTATGATTCGTCCAGTAAAGGAGATCATGACCCATTTAAAGATATAAAAACTCTAGCATTAGATTTATCTTCGAAATATAAAACAGATGGTTCGCGCATCGCATGGGTTTCTGTACGCTTGCCACCAATTTTTAGTGATGCCATTTTACCAGACGATATTATGTTAAATTCACTTTATGCACGTAACGAAATACTTAGTATAGCAGTGGCCGATCTTGCCTTACCAAAAATTGGACTTGATAGTTTAGTGTTAATGGCTTCGACAGCGATTACATTTAAAACAGATTTTCTGAATAGAGTAAGTAAATATATATTTGGAATTGGTTATTTTAATATAAATATAAATAAATTCTTAGGTCCGCATGAACACTATACAAGGATTTCAAATATACTCACCAATCGGTTTCATGATGTACCCTTGCAAATTGGCGCAGTTCTGTAAAGAATGCGAAACTTGTGATGTAAGCCAAAGTACTGGATATTTTGACAAATGGAACTATGATGTCATATCGTTTTATAGCAGAGACTATGTTCAAGGTAGGCTTAGAGTCTTTAATAATTTGTTGATTCATAAATACTCGAAAACTTTCTATATATAAATATTTTTTTCGTTTTGCTTTGTTATATATTATTATCGAGTATCAAGGTATATAATATATTCAACGATGCAAAGAAAAACAATACATTGAAAGAATATACAAAAGCTCTTACATTATACAACAAATAATTAAGAAAATCAAAAAGGATCAAATGGAAATATTTCTGTAAGGAACTTAAAGATGTTCCAAAGAATATAAAAGTCACTGTTTAAGGGGGTTATTAATCCAATTAGTACACTAAAGGCACCGAACAGTACTTTCAGAAACTCTTTTGCTAATACACTAGAGCTTCTTCTTAAAACTTATTTCCTGAATGTCGACTCATAGCAACTAATGACAACGATGAGAGGGCAAAAAACGTCAGTATAATCAAAATACTTAACTTTCAATGGGCCAAAAATTTGTGTAAACTATACAAATCACTAGGACCTGATATTGTATTCATAATCCTAATCTCTAAATGGTCTGTAAGACTGATACGTATCTTCAGATCTAGTCTAGCATTGGGGTGTGTTCCAAAGATATGGTGAGAGGTTAAGGTAATATTCTTAAAAGAGGAAGAAAATAAACCCCCGGAATCTCCTAAATACTACAGGTCTATCAGTTTAACGTCTTTAATGTTGGAAACCATGGAAAAGATACACGACTCTTACATGAGAGTAGTGGAGTGGTACACAAGCTATAAATTGCCTATCAAAAAGGCAAATCTATAGTGGCAGCACTTTATAAAATTGTTTAAATTATAGAAAAGGCACTAAACCTAAAGGAAGTTGCCGTCTGTGCATTTATGGACATTGAGGGGGCCTTCGATAACGCGAACATTCAAGCAATAGAACCGGCAGTCTCTAGTAGAGGAGCAGATAGAGCAATTGTAAAATGGGTAAGCAATATGCTAAACCATTGAAAGGTCACAGCCTCTTTAGGACAAGTCAATATTAGTGTTACAGCAGTAAAAGAATGTTCGCAGCGAGGAGTACTCTCACTAATATTATGGTCTTTAATAACTGATAACCTAATACAAATCCTCAACAACAAAGGGTATAAAACAATTGGATATGCAGACGACATATCAGTAATTATCACAGGCAACCATTAAAACTATTAGGGACTTAATGCAGGACGCTCTAAATAAAACTTGGGAATGGTGCAGGAAAGAAGGATATTAGCTCCCATTTGTAGTAAATTTCACTGGTGTTAGCTCAACTGCAAGGAAACGCAATGAACTGAGTGTGGAAACCCTTAAACATATCTGATTAAGTACAACTGTCTCAAAAACTTAAGCTTGATTATATCTTACTTTTTTTACATTATTTTCTTTGCATTTGTCAGAATTATTTTTTTATTTTTATTTTTTATTTCTATAATTTATATAGATAATTAAGAAAATGTTTTTGTATCGATTAAAAAATAAATTCTTATAATTTATATTATATAAATTTATATTATATTATATAATTATTTAAATACTCAAATATTTTTTTTATTTTTAGCGCGTAAACTAGTGGACGCATCAGTTCCTATTATGAGGACCGACAACGATATTGAATCTTTACTCACACGATCTGATAAAAAAATTAATACTATACTGGATATGTTTGTTAGTTCACAACTGCCAGTGCACATTTTACGTGGTACAGAACCAAATTTACGATATGGAACTGCTATCAAAAACCTCATGGATGCAACAACTGAACTGAATATTCCAAAATGTGCACACTCATTAAATACTAATGAAAACTCAAATAACTTCATTAATAATATAAATACATATTCCAACGAAATTCCAATAAGATATGATAGCTTTCGTAGTGATAATGTACGTAGTTTTAGTAGTCATAAATGTATACATTTAGCATCTAGAAAACAAATAGGCGATGCCATAATAAGATATGAAGATAAATCTATACTACAAAAATAATAGTAAGATAATTATAAAAATAGATGTATTGACATTTTAAAATGTAATAGTATAATGAATTTTTAAAAAAGCTGTTCTTCATAAATGAACATTAAATTAATTTAATCTCAGTCATAATATTTTTAAAGTTAAATTTATTTATAATTGGTTATGTTCAAGAGACTTTTTGTTAAATTTTATCGCTCAAAACAAACACATATACATAAACCTTAGGTTATTCAGGGCAGCTTCATTTGTTATTTTATTATTTAAATTATTGTATATTTATGTATTATTTATTGTAGAATATAATATTATTTGTATTCACAAAACATCAACACGTATTTAAGAAAGTTTAAAATATATTTATAATATTTATACTATATTAAATCATAAGTTTTCGCAAAGAGTCAATAGTTATTAATACAGTTAATATAAAATTAAAATTAGTTTTAAATGTCCCGTGCTGATAATAACTACATTCAGCTACTGAAAGTATATTATATATGTTCGGGGTTTAATAACCTTTTTTCCATTTATTGTGATTTTATTAAAGAAAATGTATGCTCAAAACGTTCTCAAATTAATGGTATTATATAAGTTGAAATTTACAGAAATTGTCATGTATATATATTAATATAATTTATTTTCTTGGTTGATCTATGAAAAACATTTTTGTCAATAAGTAAATACAAAATCTTATAAAATTATTAATTAGGAATTTATTTTCCTGTTTATATTTAATTTATTAAAATTGTAAATGTAAAAAATTTGTAATTACAAAATTTTGAGTCACTAATGAAATTAACTATTACTTGTGTAGATATTATTATTTCCTATACATACTTTTACTTTTTGACTGTTTTAGTGATTACTACCTCTTCTTAGTGATTAAGGCAAACATTTATAAAATTAAAATTATAAAAATAATTAAAAAGGTGCCAAAGGTTATGAATTTTCCTATTTATATTTAAAGCTTCTTGTTTTATAGATTTTAAGTATTTGTATTTTAAATTCATTACCATTGAATTTGAATGACGGTGTGTTTGCCAACATATTTTGCCAATTGCTCTCTTGCTAGTTATTTTTTTTAACTTTTAATATTACAAAATAAATATTAGAATTATTTTATAAATGATATTTCTTTGTAAGTTCATCGAATTACTTATGTTATACATAAGATTTGATAATTATATGTTATTGTATTAAAAATGCATGTAAATAGTTTGTTATTTTATTTAATTTGTATCGCGCATATAATAAAATCATATAACAAAAATGAATTAAACTATTGTTTATTGAATGATAAAACCGTACATGGCTTTAAAAAAAAATATAACAAATATATTGTGCATTATAAAAATCATTTTTACGATGTGTTTGTTATTGATTTGGCTTATATGAACGTTTTAAATAAAAACAGTTTTTTAGTTTGTATATATATAAAAAGGTTTTTAAAAATTTCTTTATATATAAACGATATATAAATATAAATAATAATAATACATAAATATATATATAAACGAAAAAAACTATTTTTATAACAAAAGTTCACATAAGTCTTTAAATAACGAACATATTATCAACATAAAGGAAACAGTCAGTTATTTTTCGAATAAAAATAAAGTTTAAATATTTTTATTTATTCTCATTTAACAGAAAAGTTAAATCAGTATTGTCATGCAGTTCTAATGCCTCAAAACGGCTGAAAAATAAACAAAACATATAAATTGCATAAATATTTGGATTATATAGAGGAATATTAGCTAGAAAGTTTATAACAATGAAATTATAAAGGGCAATAAATTGAAAAGTAATTGTTTAGAAATTGTCTAAAAAATTTTAAAGAATAAAGTAGACTTTTTGAAAAATTAAATTAAAGAATATATAAAATAATGGATGAAATGAACGTTTATTGCATATGCTTGGTTAGAATCTACATCTGGCAGAAGTAAAATAAAACCGAAAAATTTAAAGATATATTGAAATTAGTGCACAGTTTGAAGCAAGTGTAGAATGGTTTAAAAAATCTTAACATTTTTGAAAGGGTTGTTGGAACTTTAAAAGTTCAAATTCGTGGCACATGATTAAAGAATGTGTCGTGCAGTTTTAAACAAAAACTTAAGAAAAATAGCATCCTTAATGGCAATAATAAAGGTATTTTTTTAAGTGTTTAACAGAAACATAGTTCCATTTTAATTTTATGTATAGGGAAAAATTATTATCAAAATCAAAACTCCACCAATAAGCCCACAAGATTAAGTGTATTTATTAATAGCTGCGTTTTAGCAAATAATGATCGAAATCTTCTTAGCTGAATATATATATGGATCACACATAACACACGTAACTGTTCCAACGCAACATATTTGTCAGTTACTTATTTTTTATGATATCTTTTGTATTCTTATTGCAATATATCATAAGAATGCGTCACATTGGAAGCAACATTTATCATTAACTACGATCCATTTATATTTTGCTCAGTTTCCTAATTCAATATGACACAACTAACACAATTTCAAGTTTACTTGGTACTACCAATTAGCGATAGCAAGGCAATGATCAGACTGGCTGATACAAGCTACAAGACGTGGCCAAGGACGACTCACGTCTGTAATGGCCAATTAAGGAAGTAAACTTAATTTCTAGTTCACCGCATTCTTTTTGTTTCTGACGGATCAAACCAGTTTTTGTTGAAACGCAGCTCATAAGTTCAATAAAAAGGTATGGATTGTTTTAAAAGTGCTGTGAAATGTGTGACTTGTTTCTTAAATAAGAAAAATTTTTTGTTCAATAAAAGTAATGCACATCCCAAGAATATTTATTAAAAAATTGTAATGTATAAATTATAATGTATCCTTAAAGAAAGATGCAGAAGAATGTCTTTAAAAAATCAGCGATTAATATAAAACTAAATATTATAGAAAGTAGATATAAAACAATGCCAAGTGAGCACCAATCATTTGCAATAAATTTAAAGTTCAAGAGATGATTTGAGTAAAAAATATTTCGGAAAAAGTTAACGCTTAAATTTGCAATATACTTACTCTGTAAATAATTTGGCCTTTCCATTTAAAAATGCTTTGTTACCATGTACCAGAACACTAGATCCTTCCCTTAATCCCAACACAGAATATTTAGAATACAACAAGTATTCTTTTATACGTTCATCACGTGTTTCGCCCATATGCTCTTTATGTTCACTTTCTATATAGTGTGGATTTATATTAAATGGAACTAATTTCAGACCATCAAATGTTGGTGGATAACATATAGGCATATCGTTTGTGGTATGAATACTTCTAGTAGCCACATTTGTACCAGCACTGCTACCAATATAAGGTGTTCCTTTTTTTAATACTTGATTACGTATAACATCAACTAAATTTTCTTCATATAATTTATTGAGCAACACAAAAGTATTTCCGCCTCCGATAAATATTGCCTCAGCTCCACGTATTGCACTAGCTAAATCTGTTTTTGTATGTAATCCTTCTACGTTCAATCCCCAAGGTTTCACAGCTGTTTGTACTGTGGCGGTATATTTGTCATGATCCTTTTGAGCGTACGGTACAAATAGTATAGTACGCACTTTACTTCTAAAATATAATTATAGTAAAATACAATTAATTAATTAACTTAGATAATTTACTTAGCCAAAAAATCTAGTATCAAATCCTTTGAATATTCGAGAAAACCATATCCATGAACCCTGGATGAGGACAATAAGAGTATATTAGGTACACTCATGTTAACGTAATCGATGAAAAAGTGTGCTTAAAAATATTAATTGTGATCAAGTATCCCACAATATTATCAATAATCACAAAGATTGTAAATTTTCGGATAAGATTAACTCTGCGATATGAAAACAAAGAATAAAAACAAATCTGTCATTACATTTGGCAAGTAACAAAGTAACTGCAGATTGCAATGTATATACGGTACTTTATTTTTAATTCTTTAATGACTAGTATTATTAGATATGACACTTAATAATAGAATTAAAAAATATTGAACGAAAAAAAAGTTTAACGTAAATTTACATTAAACGTAAATTATTATTGCTGAAATACACAAAGCTTACAAAAATGGAAGGGCAATGTTTTTAAATAAACTTATATTATAATATATATGAATCATTATAATAAACTATATCAAATTTAATGTTTTTTTGTAAAATAAACTCTCAAAATTAAAACAATTATTTTAAATATTAAAGTATTTTAACTCTTTCCACATGTTAAAAAGCTTAAGTTTTCTTAAGTTCATCGAACTTTACATATAGAGTAGAGCGTGACATTTATTTATGTCTAAGCCAATCAACCAAACCATTAAAATTAAATTAAATTTATTTCTTTCTTCATCAAAATATATATCTTAAATTATTGAAAACCGTCTCAACCCCCCTTGATAATATTACCTATAGAGGTAATAATAGAGGCCAGTGATGAGGTTATTAAACAGACCTAATTAGTTTATGCACAGAATGATTCGATTTCTGTATAAAATGAATTCGTTGGCCTACAAAATTAGTAAAGTTATTAAATTAATTAAAAAAGTTAAGGAATATAAAGGAGTTATCCGTTTTGTTTATTAAAGTAAATAAAAATAACCAAATTAAATGCCTATTTCAAGAAATGCAGCTTTTTTTAACATACTAACATACTGATTTATTATTATTAATAAAAAATAGTCATAAAAACCATTCTTACCATTCTTTTAGGTGCAATAAGTATTATAGTTAGTGTAGTTAGTAGTTAGTGTCTAGAGCACTTTTACTCAACAGTGTCTGTGACCTACTTCGAGGATCCATTGTAATAAGAGCTCCGTTGAGTTCTGATAAGTTCTTCAAATTTATATATGAGTTGCATATTTTGAAACCCAGCATATCTTAATGACGGAATACATATGCATACCTATATTGCATTTTTATTTGAGAGGATTACCGTACTATTCTAAATGAATGTCCGTTTCCACAAGATCGATTTCAACGCTCTGTCTTTGATATATAAGTATTATTAATATATATTTTAACGAGGTTTTTGAAATGTAGTGAACTACAACAACAAAAATTATTTTTTATATTATGTTAATCAATTGAATTATTGGCTGACCATCCAACTATTTTGAGTATTCGCATATAACCATTATCAGTGGTCTAGGAAATAATTCTTGTATTTAATTATTTGTAAATAATTTTTTGAGACTGCAAGTATCAGAAATCGAAGTCGTGTCCTGCTAAATTTGAAGCTCAAAGTCAGCGCTGACTGACTCAAAGCCATATTTGCCTTTTATGTTCGCATATTTTTATGAAAATAAAAATGTTATGAAAATATGAAATATACTAGTTTCTATTAAATGTAATAGTCAATTCCGTCTTAAAAATGACTATTCTAACGTAATAGTATAAAAAACTATAGTTTCAAATTATGTTTCTTCATTACATTTATATTTTTTTATATTTATTCTTTTCATTATATTATTGGTTTTAATTTTCTGTTACCTGCAGCATAATCTTTTTTTAGATTATATTTTATATTTTTTTTATATTTATTCTTTTCATTATATTTTTGGTTTTATTTTTCTGTTACTAACTAAAACCTGCAGGATAATCTAAAAAAAAAATCATAACCACAGTTCAGATAGAGTCCATATTATCCAATTAAAAATTTTTTATCCTTGAAAATATTTCAACTACATTTTATTTTGATAAATTAAAATAAATTTATTTTAAATAAATAGATATATTTAAACTACCACAGACCAGTTATACTGTTACGTAAGTATATTAACACAAAATATAGGCACTCTTACACTCCATACAACTCAGATTGATAAAATAATATTACAGTTTCCATCACATCACATCACTTTACTAACTACGGAAAAATTTGTTTATGTTTCCAAATTATTGATTTACTTATTCCTTGTGCACAGAACCACTTTTAGCCAGTTTTTTATCAAATATAAAATCACCCAATTCTTCATTGCAACGTTCAATTTGTGTTATATAATCGGCTAGTTGCTTTTGTGCCTCAACCTGTTCACTTAAGAAATTCGCCTCAAGAAAATCACACAAATTCGGATCGTTTTCATTGGTAGCAGTTGCATGAAGATCCAATAGTGACTAAAATATTTCAATGAAAATAACCACGAAATGACGAAGTCAATTTTTAAAAATAAAATCCATTACCTGATTGACTTCCTTTTCCATACGAAGTGCCTCTACCATTGCTTCCTTAATCGAAGTAACTTTTTTATTAGGTGCTTCTATGTCTTGCAATTCAATAGTCCCACCGCGTTTATTCTGATAGTCCATGAATAATTCTGCATGCTGACGTTCTTCATCACTAGCATGTTTGAAGAATTTAAACATACCAGGAAGCGCTATATCGCTTCTATTAAAATAATAAGCCTACCAAATAAATCAAACACGTTACAATTTAATAGTGCACACTATATATTAATATATCCAATACTTACTATAGCCATATAATCATAACTGGCTTGCAACTCCTTTTTTATTTGATCATTTATACCTTTTTCACATGCACACGGAAAATTTTGTCTTACCATCAAACACATCAAGCGACTAAGGGTGATCCGACCAGCAAAATTCATTGTATATTTTGTTTTTAGTTTAGAAAAATTTTCGAAACAAAAATGAAAAATATATTTTATATTTTAATTTTCAAAAATTTTAACTTCTAATTGACAGTATTGAATAAGTTTTTCAGTTTTCATCGTAATAACTGCGCCGAAGTCATTTTTGGTGCATTTGTTATTGCACTCAGCCAAGGCAATCGAATCTTACCAATAATTTTTTTATGGTTGCCAAAATACAAGGAGTACTTGAAACTCTAGAAGCGAAGCCTGTATACTTCAAAAATGTTGTTGACATTTTATATAATTTTTAAAATACACATCCAAATTAAAAATAAATTGCTTACAGCTAAGTAGTATGAAGCATGAAAGAAGATATCCTTTCAAATTTTTTTAAAAACGATGATGCACCAAGACTTAGAAAAGTCATATAAAGGTTTTGGATCCATTTCCTGATTTTTTGGATTTTTTATTTAATTTTACTATTTAATTATTTTAAAAGTAAAAATCCATAAAGATTTAGGTATGACACATAATAATGATATATATGATATATAATTATGATGCACAGTTTTGGGGGGACCGTTTTACTGATTTGTGATTTTTTTTTTAATCTTAATAAATAATTTATTATTTAATTTTTTTATAATTATATTAAAAGTAAAAATTACCCAAATTTAGGTAAATTATGATATAAAATGCACAGTCCAAGTTTTCTTGATTTGTGATATTTTATTTAATCCATACTTCTTTACTTTTTTATTTTTAAGTGTCATTAAACCTCTTCGTTAAATCATCATCCGTGACTATACAGTCCATATAACACCTAAGCGTGTTTAATAACAAGCTTCCATTCTTCTCTGTTTTTTGCTCTTGTTTTCCAATTTCTTCTTCTTCTTCTAAATCCTGCTGCACACTGTGTTTCCATCGCTTTCTTGGTCACACCTCGTCTTTTACTGGTTCCTTCTTCGTTTTCATAAATCTTAAGCGGTACTCTCATATCCGCCAAATATTATCACATGTCCAACTAATCTTAATCGCTACTTTTTCATAAATTTGTTGAATGTTTCACTTTCAGCTAGCCGTGCTAGCTTGTGATTGTATCTTATGCGATACATCCCGTTTTCTTTCACGGGTCCAAAAATTTTTTTTAGTAATTTTCTTTTAAACACTGCTATTTCAGTTAATCTCCCTGTCTCGCAGCCATATTTTATCCATATGTTTAACAATCTCTATGAGGTACACTAAATAGTGCAATATTTTACAGTTAATTTCAAATGGTAGGAACTGCCATCCATGATTGCCATCTATTGTTATTAAAACGGAATAGATCTTAAATGGTAGTATATACCCTCTTTGAATTATTGCCAACACTAAATATATCTAGTTACGTTACTAAGGGGCATGTTATGATTGCCTCAGTGAGGTCTCAATGTCAGATTTTTATTTTGCATTAAAAGGCCCATGTTATGTAGAGAGTTACGGGTAGGTCAAAATCAAAATTGTTGTTACTTTCAATACAAATTAAAAAACTGAGAGTGAGTAAAAAACAAATGTCGGTTTAGATTTGGTCATGAGGGCCGAGACTATCTAAGCCACGTCACTCAGTCAAAGCCGAGTTGTATGTATATATCTATATATTTCCTTTAAAATTTAGACACAACCAAAAAGAGAATGGCACTGATGTGACACTCTGCATAATATGCATTTGCGTTATAGCCTGAAAGAACTAATTTTGACGTGCCCGTAACACTCCACATAGCATGGGCCAAAATAACAATAATTGTCAGGACGTGACTGCAATCATAGAATACCTCTTACTAGTTAACTAATTAATGCAAGATCAATGGGGGTGCAAGGGAGAATTAAAAGTGAAAAGTGAAAGCTCTACGATAGTTTGTCACTGAGTTATTTTTTACATATACATTTATTTGTACCCAAAACCTAATGATAAGATTAAGAAAATAATAGTTTCAATTGTGTGTGATATAATGCAATAATGAAGTTTAGTGCAAGGCACTTCCAATTGGCAACCCTGAAATCTCTATTGTCTCATTTAACTGCAATGTGTATGAGTTTTAGTTTGAAATTTAATAGTTACTCATACGTTTATTAATATAATATATATTTTCTATTCTTGTGATCTCATGAATATATTTGATTAATTTATATACAATATTTTTTATTTTTAAATTATAAATTAGTTTAAAATTTTGGTAAGTTATTATTTATATTTATGTCTGATTAAATATTTCAACAGATATCTTTACTTTTAAATTAAATTAATAATAAATGATATTGAATATATTTCAATGATTTTAAATTAAATTTTATTTTAATTTTTTAAAAGGAACAAGTGATAACTGATATAGCAATCATCTTATAAACTTTTCATAAGGTTAAAGTATAGTGATATTACATGGATATACAGAAAAAGGATAATTAGTCATCAAAAATAGTTAGATTGTGAAGTAATAATTTTTTATTATTGACCTAATTTTATTAAACTAATCTAAATAATTTTCACTATTCTTTTGAATGTTAACAAAATTATGAGGAATAGATAAAGCGTATCCACAATTTTTTTTTAATTTGAAAAAATTATATCTTTTATAATCTTTAATTAAAAGTTTTTTAAATTTTGATTATAATTTATTTTATTATAAATAATTAATTTGGGTTTTCCTTATTTTGTGTTTTCTATAATTATTTAATTAATTGAATTTTATATATATCCATTTCAAAGTTGTCACCAGTCTTTGGAATTTTTGTCACTGCAAACATCAACTTACCATATATGTATATATATAAAAAATTAAGTTTGTATACTGTTTGGTTCCAATGATATTCTACCAATATTTGTTTTCACCAATTGCACTCACCTCTGGAATGTACACTTATAGTTTTGTTTCTCATATTTGTAGAATACATCCTATGATTTTGTTGTTGTTGTTGTGTTGCCAGAAGAGATCTCTATTATAGGAAGCGCGAAAAGAATTACAAAATATAAATACATGTTTTGGAATATGGTTTAGTTAGAGGATAAGTGAGCAGAAGAGGGGTTATTTGAGAAAGAATTACAAAATATGAAATTATGTTTTGGGATATGTGAGCAGAAGAGGGGTTATTAAGAATAAGAAATGGAAGAAGGATGGGAGCGAAGAGAACCTATATTAAACATTGGTTTCTTTATGTACTATATATGCAGTTCTTCTATCTTATAGTTTAGTCGAATATGACATTTTTTTAATTATATTGCATTAAACACTTCCATTACGTTTTTATCAGACTGAGTAGTATTATTAAATAATTTTTTAAAGTAAAAAAAAACAAAATTTTAACACTAAAGTAGTTACATGTCGGTATTATCATAAAGTCACAAATAGCAACAACAGTTCTTCCGCACTTATCACAAGTAATAATTAACTAAAAAACACATGTCAATACCTTTTTTCTGTAACTAAATAAAGTAGCTCTACTTTATTTGCTCCGCACTAAAATATTTATGTTAAAGCGTTGTCTATATATCAAATTGTTAATAATATAATTACCATAGTATAAATAAAAAATAAATATGAAATGAAATAATATTCTTCACAAACATATGGCAGTAACCATAATATAATTATTTATTTTTTGTTTATTGTTATAATTTTCTCGTATGCTTTTCTTTTACGTATTTATAAATATATATATATATTTATACATGTGTATTATATATATTTATATATTAATTTTTAATTTTACTTCTTTTAAAGAATACACAAAATAACGCACATTTTTATATTCCATAAATTATTATAAATTTACTTCCGTTTTTACAATTCGTTTCACAGATTAAACAGAATTAAAGGCAACAGTTCATCAATTTCGTAAATAACAGTTAAATCTTATTATGTATAGCATGCAATTTATTTTAAAACACATAACATGAGACATGTTCGGTTGTTTATATACTAAGGCATTTGTTTTTCTCTATTAGAAATTAAATGTGCAATATTGAAGACAGTTTCTGATTAAATTTAATCCTTCAAATCTAAAATTGTAGATACAAATTCAGATATATCCGTATTACGTTTGATGTGCTCAACAAGAAATGCATGTTGAAGTAATTGTTCATAATTAAGTCTTGCTGTGTAATCCTTCTGTAGACATTTTATTATGAAATCCTCAAATTCAGGAGAAAAATCACCAGACTTAAGACGTGGCGGTTCATCTCTAACAACCTGGAAAGAATTTCATTATTAATTTATTATTTTATATATATGTTTATTTATTTTTAGTAAAAAATATCTGTAATAATTATAGGTCTACTCTTCCATTGATAGATTCTGTGTTGTTGTTTATTTAAAATTTATGTATTACTACTTAAATCGGCTATTTAATTTTTTTTTTTTTATTGTTTTGTTTAGTAGAGTCCAAGAACGATCGGGTCTACGTCACTCGTCACCTACGACGACCAAGTATCGTTCAACACCTCTCAAAGGGACTCCACAAGCAGGTCCCGGCGGATTACAACAACATTTTTTTTTTTTAGTAAGTAATTTATAGTTGCTTAATATCCTTTCTTAATAAAATGAAGTATAACATTATTTATAAAATCATCTGTTATTTTTTATAATTAAATAAAAACAGAGATGTTTCGAACAGTACTGAACTGCAATAGCAAAAATTATTTTTACATTATTTTAATTAATTGAATTTTTTACAGCTGTTTCGAGTATTGCCGAATGATTTGAAATGATTTCGTTCTAATATATAATACGGCAAGTGTATTTGCAAGTAAACTTTCACAGCAAATTAACAAAACTCCAGAAAAAAGTACAAACATACAAGCCAAGTACGGCTACGGGTCAGTTGGTCAGTTCAATTTATTAAAATAATTTAAAAATAATTTTTGTTGTTGTAATTCACTACTCTTTGAAACCTCTCTATTAAATACTACAGCTTACGCAAAAACTAAAATTAGTTACTACTGTCTTATTTGCGTTAAAATCAAATTTAATATTAAATAAAAATTATACAATACCTGTGCTAATTGTTCAAAGGGTGTCGCCCAAGTTTGGTACGGAAATTTTCCAGTAGCCATTTCAAACATACTAATTCCAAATGACCAAACATCTGATCTTATATCATAATGCCCATACTGTGTACCGGATGGATCTATACGTTCTGGTGCCATATATGGTTTACAACCTGCATCTATCGTTTTGGCAACAGAATCAACTAAATAACCTGTAAGTTTAAACATTGATTATAATATTTGTATATAAATAAATATCAATATTTTACCTGAAATTCCAAAATCACACATTTTTACTTCACCACTGCGATTAATTAATATATTCGATGGTTTCACATCTCGATGGATTACTTTTAATTGTGCATGTAAGTAATGTAATGCATTTACCACAGACATGGCAATCTTAAAAAAAAGAAATACATTAAAACTATAAAACTAAAATTTATACAAAAAATCTATGTAAAAAGTATATATAATATCGCGAATGAGAGCTGTTATAATGGTTTCTATAAAAACTAACATTTTCTAAAAATTTTCTTTTATAAAAAGTTCAAATTCATAATATTTATTGACTATTCCTTAAATACAAACTAAATATCGGTAACATATCTCTGAAGATAATAAAAAACACAAATTTGCTGATTTCAAAATTAAAAAAATAATTAGATATAATAATAATAATATTTATCACTTTTTTATATAAAATGTGTTTATGCATATAAGTTCACCTTTTCATATAAATCACATTATAATATATAAAGCAAAATCAACTATTTAGAAAACAATATCAATTATTCAAATTTAAAACAACTATATTTTCATATAATTATTTTATTTTTTATATAATTATTTTATATTTATATATGTATATTACTAAGAGATAACTCTACTTATTTTATACATTTTTTTTTGCTAATATATATCCTACTTAATTTTATGACAGAATTTCGTCAGTTTTGGTATATAATAAAAAAAATTTTTTTCATGATAAATACCTTGCCAAGTACTGTTTCTTCCATAACTAAATTATGTTTAAATACTTTTGGATAGAATTTATCTAAACTGGTATCCATAACTTCCATACATATCCAAACATCTCCTTCACGAAAAAGTGCTCCATAAAAATGTACTGTATACGGACAGTCACTAGATCTCATTGAGATATCTAAATCCATTAATAAACGTTGTTGTTCTCTTCGATTTACTGTTGCAGTTATTCGTTTAACTGCCATTACAGTTCCTGTCTGTTCATGACGCATTTTTTCAACGATTCCATAAGCACCTCGTCCTAAATCACATATTTTTTCTAAACTATCTGCATCTATTTGAAATGTACGTTCACCAATCTGAATCGTTGTACTAGAATCCAAATTCCTCGGTGGAATGCTAATTTATGCAAATAATTATATTAAATTTTTATAATAATTGTATTAATTTATAAAATAACTATATTCAACTAACATTTCTGGTTCAGGATCTTTTTTTATGTTCATACGCAATTCTGGTCTTCGGCCGGACATTGTATGTATGTATGTAAATATGTGCGAGTGTTTATAATATATATATATATAATTCAACTTTAAAGGCAGTAAAAAAGTCGATTTTATGTTTATTTCTTACTATAAAAACAAATTGCTATTCAAATTAAAATGTTAGGCGCCTTTTAGCTAAATTGTTGTTTCAATTTTTTAAATATTTCCTAATTAGGAGTTTTCGATATATTTCGAGTGGGCACAATTTGTATCTTGTCGAGCGTAATTATGTTTTTTGCCCTTATTTATATTACGATTACATATACATATTAATTGAATTTTTCTTTGTATTAATTGTTATTCGTTCTATTCTAAATACTGTTTTTGGATGAAATTTTTAAACAAATAAATCCAATTCACGAAATTTTAAACCCGTTTTTGTAAAATTATAGTTCTGACAAGATAATCTTTTCGTGTTTCGTTTAATCGGCTCGTTCGTTTTCGCTTTTATTATACATTTATTGACATTTCACTACATACCATACTTTGTTGTCGCGTTGCCAAATTATTCTTTATTTTTTATGTATTCTATGGCTAGAATTATAACAGTTTACAAATACACTACACATATTGTAATCTGTGTAATATAATATTATTTATCTCCAAATAATCGTTCAAAATCATAATTATGAAAAGCAAAGTCTCGTTTATTTAAGTATTTTTTTAACTTTTTATATCGATTCAAAGCTTTTTAGTTAAGCTGCTAAATAATATTGTGTGCCTAAAATTACAGTTTATAAATGCACTACAAATTTGTATTATATTTATGTATCGTGCATAATTATACTTATGGAAAGGTAAATCTTGTGGATTTCGTTTAATTAAGTATTTTTTACCTTTTTATATTGTTTGATAACATTTTAGTCATGTTGCCAAATAAAAAATTAAAAAATAAAATTTTGTGGCTTGGATTATAACAGTTTATATATACTCTTAAGTATTCGTAAATAACATGATATTTTTACTGGCTAGATATTAGCAATTTTTATATTTTTTTATGTTCTAGCCGAATGCAAAGTTATTATACTATTTTTTATTTTCGTTGCCGATTTCACATCATTCAATAGCACTCATCAACTTTAACAATTTTCTTGTTTTATAAACTTTACTAATATTTTTAAGCCAATATTTTTATTTGAAAAAAGAAATTAAGTAAAAATATTTTGCATATCTATAGTAATCATTGAATTTTGCTATTAATATATCGTTCCAAGAATGGTTACGTTTATGTCCCCAGAGCCACTCCTCGATCTCGACACTGTTTAACACCCCTCAAAGGAACTACACAAGCAGATCCCAGTGTGTTACTATAACACAGTAATAACATACTAGTCCTCGTGTTTTACCATTTCTGTGTACAAGTATCTTACAAGTTAAGCCTTGTAAAACACATTTTTTTGTAAAAACTATGTAGAAACATCTATTATAGTATACATTATAGTTCGGATTATTAATATAACATTTTTAACTTTAACACTAAAGAAAAATAAATCAGTTGCGGCAACCATTTCACAATATAATTACATATTCCTTTATTTTAACATATATAAAATTTAATTTTACAAATTCAAATCAATTTTTTATTGCTAAATTTTTTAAAGTTAAATCTTCACTCGTTTCATCCACTACAAAATTAAATTTAAATTCGGATCCTAAATTTAGTTTTAAGTCTTTGTTAGCGACTACATCAGGCATATTTTCAGAAGATTGATCTGTCGTATTATTTACTTCAGTTTGTTCATCAAAATTAAAACGAAAGTCTTTTCCCGATGTCATTAATGCTGATTTTTTGACAAAACTAGACTTTTTATTCACATCTGTAGCATTTGTAAATTTCACTTGCTTGGGAGCTGTAAATTTATTTTATTAGTTTTTTCATTTATATATTTTTTTTTAAATGTCGCATACCCAAAGATAATTTTTTTTCTTCTGCTTTCATCGTCGATCTGTAGTCACCTAAAGCAGCTTTCATAACCTGTCGTTTTTTTATTAAAGGTGCTGTAGTACTTTTAAGAATTTTTATATTTTTAACTGTATCCTCAGCTGTAATAATAACATATAAATTTTTATGTCTATATATTTACAATAAACGTTACCAATCTTTCCATTTAATTTGCCTGAATATATAGCGGTTTCCAGTTGTTGTACACACCAACATAACTCAAGTTCAAATTGCATATCATTTTCGCTAATTGTGGGTTTTGATCCGGAAACAGTCGGTGGTGGTTTATATATACTTTTAACTGATTTCTTTTTATACATTTTGTTATAAATTCAAAACTGATGTTCAATTTACTTTTCTAAGAAAGGCGAATGAAAACAAAACAAATAATTTGACATCTATTGTCTGCTTTCCATACAAAACGTGCGAAACTTATCGATAACAGCAATCTTAGTTCTGCGCAGTGCTGTGTTTACACGATAAGATGAATTGCACATAAAGCATGAAATTTATTTATTAAAAATTTTTAGAATGAATTTAAAATTTGTGTGGATTTTATGAAGTTTAATATTTTTCACTTTTTATCTAATGCCTAAAAGCGAAGAATTAGAATTGAAAACTTATGTGCTAATGCTAGTAATATAAGAGTATTTGCGTGTAAAAAATCTGAGTCTTGAAAAATCTTATACTCGTTTTACACAAGAGTTTTGTTTGTAATTTTAGCTATCAATGTAAAATAAACATTTTTGAAAGCTAAAATTACAAACTAAACTCTCGTGTGAATGCAATGTTAACCTGAATAATAAACTTATTTTGTATATCTTTATTTCATAATGATCTATAATATACAAAATGCAATATATAAATGTATAAGAATGGTTTAAAGAGTTCTCTAATTTTTTTTTTAACATTTGTTTTTGTAATTGTGATCGTAAATAAAAATCTCGGACACTGCAGCAATATTTTATTTCGTTATGCTTTAGGTTATGACAGTTATTCATAATATTGCTATATAATTATAATATTATGAATTATGATTAAACGCAGGTAACATAATTTTCGTTGCTCAATTTTTATATATAATTCACTGATAATTTTAACTTGGCTTTGAGAAAAAGTGAGTCGAATAATCAAAATCACAATCGAATTATATTAAATGTGCTGTGTGAATAGTACAACATTAATTTGAATACGATTAAACAATAAATCTGTAAATGATTGATTGTTCTAATGACAATATGACCATACGTATACAATTCAATACAGGTTTCCTCATTATTTCCAGTTAATAATTTTTAATACTTGTTTTTAATGAACTGAGTTAAACTAAGTCACGATAACTTTCAACAATAATAATATATTTGTATAATATATATGTTTAATATATTATTTAATATAATAATCTTTAAATATTTTTTAAACATAATGTAAATTTCTCTGAAAGTGTAGACAGACACTTTCAACATTAATTTATCGATATAAATTATCATCTTCAGAATGAAACGCGGTTTCCTGTCAAAACGCATATTCTTTCTTTTGCAACTGAACGTCATTGAAGGTAGGTGTGCTTTTCGTGTGCTCCGATATTAAAGTAATATAAACGCATTTTTTTTAATTTACTTGATTTTAGTGTTTAATTACATCTCAAAGAAATAAACAGTAAAGATGGTTGCTATCAAGAAACAGGTATATATAGTAATTAGGCGCAAGTGCAGACTTTGTCATAACCTCATTTTTTATCTTCTCATTGCAGAAAAAGGCTTTAGAAAGCACCAATGCACGTCTTGCTTTGGTTATGAAATCCGGCAAATATTGCCTGGGTTACAAACAAACATTGAAGACTTTACGTCAAGGCAAAGCTAAGTTAGTTCTTATTGCTAGCAATACTCCTGCCTTAAGGTGAGATAATAGCTTCAAAATACCTGCAACGGCAGAGCATTTTGAATATTCAACTTACAATTGAAAATATGTTGGAACCATATGGAGTCTTGTTAGACTGAGAAGTATGTTTCCATGTATAATAAAGTTTGTGTTAAATGACATTATTGAAAGATTCAAAATTGAAATATGCTAAACATGAAACTACGTGCAAGATATCCACATGGTTCCAGCAGATATTGAAATGTAAGTTGTTATTTTTTAAAATACGCTTTCTTGCTATATATAGTTAATATTATGATGATATATTTTAATCAGATTTTTGATGCTGATACCCATTATATACTAGAGACTCTTTCTGATCAATTAATTTAAATATTTCTATGATAAATTATATAATTGTCTATTAACATGTTTTAATAATTTGTTTTTATTTTTATTGCTTATAGGAAGTCTGAAATTGAGTACTACGCTATGTTGGCAAAGACAGAGGTTCAGCACTACAGTGGTACCAATATTGAATTAGGTACTGCCTGCGGTAAATATTTCCGTGTATGCACAATGTCTATTACGGATCCTGGTGATGCTGATATCCTTCGTTCGATTCAAGATAATTAAAAAGTTGCTGTTAAAGTAAAACTTTTTTAATAAAAGAAAGGAGTTTTATAAGAAAAAAATTTTGTAGTTATTATTTTCTAATTAACTTGAGATAATTAGCGTGGTTAAGAATGGTTGTTTAATATTATGTACAGCACTGATTTATGTTAACATAAATCTATGTGAAATCTATGGGAATTATATTCCGCTCATAACTTTATAACTGATCGGTTTAGGAGTAGGAACACATATAACCCATATAACCCAATGAGCATTTATCTTAAATCAAGAATTATAACAATTAAAGTTTTTAAATATAACTATAGATTTTAAGTATAGCAGAAATTATATACTTTTAGATGTTACTGAAAAAATTGTATTAGATTTATATATTATCATGCAGCTGCGTTATATGTACGGTTAGTTTTGTTATCAATGTTGTGAAAAAATATAGGACAGGAACTTAATGATTGAAGTATGAAAAAATTAAGCTTAAATTGGAATAGAATTCGGCGTCTTCCTATTTTTATAAAATAATTGGTTCCTTTATTATAATATATTATTTCGGAACAACTATTTATTAGGAATTATGTTCATAGTGAATAGAATAGTTTATATGCAGAAGACAAGTAATTTAAAGCTGTATATCAACGTTCGTTCTGCATGAAGAGGATGTTTAGCACATCTAAAGCATTGTAGAAAATGTACATATTTAACAAATAAAATCACCATGCTTTTTTCTAGGTTTTTAGGGACACTATATTTTGAAATCAAAGCTAAGTTTTTAATTCATCATAAACATTGTCAACAAATCATTTTCATATCAAATTAAATCACATAAGTAAATTTATATATTCATATGTAATTTACTAGTAAAGAGGATAAATAAATAATTATTAAATTTTAACCTGATAATTTAATAGCGTTTGTTTTATTCATAAATAATCTATTACAATCAAAGCACAACTTCATTAAGAATGCGACTTTGATCAATAACAGTAGGTGGCGCTCGATGTTGACGATTTTCAGCCCATTCTTTTGGATGCATTTTTTTACGGTGATGATGCATATTCGAGCTGACTTTGAAAGTTTTTGGGCAATGGGGACATTGATATAAATCTTGACCAGTGTGTGTTGACATATGCTCCTATTTAAGATATAAAAACCAATTATAAATACTCGACACTTAAACTTTATAACCTACCTTAAGCACTCCGGATACCTTAAAGGCTTTATCACAAATATTGCATTTAAATTTACGTTCACTTTCGTGCACATATTTTTTATGAGCTCGAAGTGCCTCTTTGTTTAACGAAACTTTTCCACATTCAGCGCATATATATGCAGTGGAACCATCATGATGTGCCACACGTATATGTCTACCTAAACTGAATTTTGTGCTCAAGACAGCATTGCACTGATTGCATTGCCACTTCAGCTTGGCGCCACTGCTTTCATCATGTTTTGACATATGATTTTTTAAGGCATATTGATGACGAAACCATTTGCCACAAATTTCGCAAACGCAGTTGTTTTTAGTGTGCACGTTACGTATGTGAATTCTCAGCTTCGATTCCAAAACGAAACTAAAATTATAAAAATACTTTAATTATAGAATATTAAATAATTAATGAAAAAACTAACCCTTTATTGCAATAAGAACAAACGAAGTCTTTGTTTCCTGTGGCGTGTATACTTGCATGTTCGCGTAGGATCGCTAATTTTGCGAAGAATTTGTGACAAACATTGCACTCGAATTTACGATCCGTGTTATCTGTGGAATGTTTGTTTTTTATGTGATTTACAAGGCTACGACGATTTATGCAACATCTCTCACATTTAGGGCATTTAAAGTATTTAGGATCTAAGTGCACCTGTAAGTGGTCGACTAGATGAAAACGATGATAATATTTTTGTTGACAACACGTCACATAAGCCTTTTCGTCGCTGTGTTGTTCACGAAAGTGCGCTCTTATATCCCTAAAGGTTTTACACGCAGTTTGACATATTTCACATTGTAATTCCAATTTCCAGGAAGTAATAAATGCATCTTCATCTAAAGTAATTTTTCGTTTTAATTTTATGCTTTTATCTTTTGTTGTTAACTTTTTAATGGCATCAGAGACTTTGGCGTCTGTATTTTGATGTGTTTTAGTATTTTTTGTTTTCTTCTTAAGACTGGAGATTTTGTTAGATTGCTTGGATAAATTTTGTACTCTACTTGATTTTTTTATTTTATTTTCAATGACCGATTTTTCAGTGTCCAAAATATTTATTTGATTTTCTAATACATTATCGTGGTTAGAATTTTCATAGTTTTCCACTTTCATTTGTTGTTGTTCAGTTGAAATATTTTGGTCATTATCGTACGGAATTTCATCTGGATCACTTTTAACATTTACTTCATAACTATTAAATACAGAAACAAAGGGAAAAACCACTTCCTCCTGCTCAAATCCTTTAGTGATCTGAGTCTTGCACTTTTCCTCATGGCATTTCCTCACATTTTCTTGAAAGCTATTAAAGTCCGTTATATGTAACCAACAATATTCGCAAATTACATTGGAAGATGTATTGGTATCATTTATAAGCTAAGTAAATAATAATAACTTATAGTAGGTGTTTTATATCTTATTAGAAACAGCATTATGTACCTCAGCTTCAAAATATTGTATTGTTAATTTGTAAACAGATTCAGTTCCTAAATTTTCAAATTTATTACATATATTCATACACAAATTGCAAATCATAGTTAATTACTAAATCTATATTGAATTAACAATAACAATTGAATTGACAATAACAAATGAATTAAAAGCAATTATGAGGATATAAAATGATTATTTACGTTTGGTGAAATAAATAGAGCAAAATATTCTCTTATACTGAAACCAAAGAATAATAATAGATGAGATTTTGGCAAATTTTACGAATTTAACGTAGCGTTTGAAAATTTTGAATATATTTCCAAAATTTATTCATAATAGACCTTTTTTGTATTTTTGACAGCCTTGCGTTATGACGGTCATATCGGTTGAGCGACTTCAAACTCAGCAGGCGAAGGTTTCAATGCATCATTGATACTTTAGAATCAACCATCGATGCCACTACGATACCAAGTAAATGCATTTTTGTCCATAGTCATACTCAAACGCAGCATTGCGGTGATGGTTTTTTGATGTAAAAGAAGGTGTGGGGAATCCATATAATGGTGTGGTGAATTTAATAAAATTTTGTTGGGGAATCGTTATCGCTTTATATATGTGAAGAATATATGTATATATATTTTATTATTATATTAATTTTAAAATAATACTTCAATTAATATTATATGTATGAAAAATAAGTACAAAGAATTTATATATAAAAAACACATACGAAATCTTTATAAAATATTGAGGTATAAAGCATAAAGTAATAAATTTCGCATATTGATTCCTCAAAGCTGCTTAAAGTATCAATAAAGCATCGATGCCATTGTGATTCCTTTGATATCGATGCCACTATAAACTCCTGTGAAGTTATTGAAACCAGTAGTGTTCTTAAAATCAGCGGTTATATTTTGAAATATTCTTATTAGGAATTCTCCTGATGTAGGTAAAGGTGATGTGCCAAAATACGTATAGAAATACACTAAAAATAACGATCATAATTAAAAAAAATTATTAAAAAAACAAACCGCATTTTAAATTCTTACAACAGTTAACCACTATTGAACATCGGTCTTCAGACATGTATGCGGTGAAATTGCACTTTATTTTCAAAGTGTATAGGAAAGCGCATACTGGGTCTGAATACGTGGTGTGTATACATGTAGAATCGTCCTTATCATGCTTGAAAGAGATCCGCTAATTGTAAAATATAAGCTGAGCTATATATGTATAACAAATTTATACCGGTATATTTACAGATAATTCTTATAGTATGGTAACCCTGAATTGCTTTCAAAATAATTTTTATTATTAAAATTTTATTTGAAAGGATTATATAGACGTTTGATAAAGGAATGGAGGACAGTGGTTTCTTGCGTGGTTACACAATACCCACAATACAAAGGAGAAATGCAAATGGTACTACCCACATGGCACCAAGCACGCATTATAGCGATTACAACGGGGATTATATTTCTGCACAAGTCGCTGTACGTAAATTGATTTTTTTGAAATCCACAAAATGTAAATATAATATCTTAAACTTGTATACGTTTTACGGAATATATGTTATATTGATTAATTAAATTAATAAGTTTCTGTGTAATTAAGTAAAAGCATTTGTACATTTGTCTTTATGTAATTATTGTGCGATATTAATTTGTGGTGCTCTTTATACAATTCTAGGAAACCGATAGAAACGTAATATCAAATCGTTTTATACCACCAGGAAAGCATGATACAAATTATATACCACCCAAAGTTCAAAAACGAAAATATGCATCTGGGCCAGGCGTTAAGGAACAAAGTACAGCTATATTTGTAGGTCGCGACGTATCTTATCCTGAAGAATTGAACGCAATCATACAACCTTTAAGATGTGATCTATGCAAAACTAGTATGAATTCTTTACAAAACGCTAAAGATCATTATGAATCCAAGGCACATGATCGGAATATTACGAATTGGCTAACTAGAAATTATGTAGAAAAAAGTAAGGAGTTTGATTTGTTAAACTAATATGTAGAACCTTATTTATATGTGAATTACTTTTTAGATCTTGAACCGCCAGAAGTGAAGCGCTTTTATAAAAGAGGACCTGCTGGACCAGAAGCATTTCATTGCGATGCTTGTGATCTTAAATTAACTTCGTTAACACATGCCAATCAGCATTATGCGGGTCGTAAACATCGTTTAGTTATTAGTAATATATCGAAACCATCTGGGGCGGGTTTTTACAATGCCGAAGGTAAATGGGTACGAACTGCTACAAAGGTGAGCGGTCAAATTATTAGTCAAGATGGACGTTTCGGCATAGGAGAGTCATTTAGCTCAGAACTCGTAACACAAAATGCAGCAGAAATAAAAACAGAAAATTTGGAGCTAAAAATAAAAGATTTTACAAACCTAGAAGCACCTTTATCTGTTCC